CACACACACACACACACACACACACACACACACACACACACACACACAGAGTCTGTAGGGTCATGTTACCAGGATTCCGTTCCCTCACCACCTGAGGTGTTTTGGCTCTCAATTTAAATGTGTTTTCTCCTTTATCGGCATTGATGCGTGTAGTCTAAAGGGAAGCCGCTGGGAAACACAGCAGCCGTCCACCCTGCCTCTCTCCATTTCCTGCTCCCAGAAACAACGATTTTCAATTCTTTTAGCTGATTCTTTTGCTGTGTAACCCCTACATCTCTCAAAACCACACGTTACATTGCTCCTGATAGATGTTCAGGTTTGGGGCTTTCACTGTGGACGACAAGAATTAGCACTTTCATAAGCACTTCCCATCCCCCCAGTCTCCATATAAACGCTGCTGACCCACTGGGTATAGCATGAGTGCTTCTTTCCTGCCCAACTTTTGTTCTCTCCAGAGTTGATAGTTGTCTTAATTGCTTTTTGCTTGGCTTTTCTCTGTTTCATTTTGGGGTTTTTGGCTGCACCTTGCGGCCTGGAGGATCTCAGTTCCCCAACCAGGGACTGAACCCAGGCCATGGCAGTGAAAGCCCAAAATCCTAACCACTAGGCCACTTGGGAACTCCCCTGCTTGGCTTTTCTTTTTCTTCTTTTTTTTTTTTTTTTAATTTGGCTGCGCCCGCCAGGTCTTAGTCACAGCACGTGGGATCTAGTTGCAGCATGCAGGATCTTTTAGTTTGTTCCTTTCAAACTAGAAATTCATGACCTTTAATTCTCAGAAATTGTATTATTTTCTTGATTTATCCTGGGGGTTTTTTTGTTTGTTTTCTGTTTCTTTGTGTATTTTTTTAACTCAGACTGGTCCTCTGAATTTCTAATTTTTTGACTTATTTTCCTCATTTATTTTTCTTTTTGTTCTTCTTTTAGGTATGTTTCGTCAACTTCTAACCCTCCTATTGTTTTTCCCTTATTCTGTCATTTTTGACTTCCAAGAGCTCACTTGATCTCTGAACGTGCCTTTCCTCGTAGTTCTCTGCTCTTATTTCATGGGTACACTGTCCTTCTGTCTCTGAGATCTTGGTGATAGTTATTCCAGTGTTCTCTACCCCCTTTGTAAACTCGGTTTCTTCCAAGTTAGCTTTTTGTTCCTTCTGCCTTTTGTATAAGATGCCGTCGTCTGGTGTTTGGTGACGCTCAGCCGTGTAGTGGCGCTGTAGCGGGAGCGCTCAGAGCTGGGAGGGGCTTGTCGTGTGGCTTTCCCTTCCCTGGACGGCAGCCACACTGCTCCCTTGCCTTGGGAAGGCTTCAGTGTCAGGGTCTTTAGAGCTCTTCTTTGAGGCTTATAGAGTCCCCAGAGAGGACTCCTCCAATCTGCTGTCCAGAGGGTACGGGTCTGGCCGCCAGCATTGTGAGCTGAGTGGGGCAGAGGAGCTGGGCTGTGTGATCCCTCGCTGAAGCCCCCGTTCTCCGTGCGCTGCCCCCACCCCCACTGGGCAAAGCGCCTCCAGTCTGGACACTTTTTACTCTCCTTGATGAGACACTAAACCTCTGGATGGGGGAGGGGGGGATGTACCAGGTAGCAGGGAGACCTCAATAACTGCTTCTTAGACAGACTTTCAAAGTGCTCCTAGTTTTATAGCCCGCTTTCACCCTCACTTCTTTGATTATCTAGGGCCGCCAATGCCCAGACCTCTCAGGGATTCCACAGCTATGTAAGTCCAGTCGCTGCCCAGGTTCCCTGTGTGGTCTTAGCATTTGTCCTCCTCCCGTGTTCGGTCAGGTACCACTCATCCCTCCGCTTTCCAGCTTCTGAATCTTGTTGCTGTCATCCTCTTCCTGTTCCCTTGGTCCTCGTGGGTTATGCCTTTTTTAAAGATCTCTTTGCTGTTGCTGCAGTGGGTTTTAGAAGTGTAACCCATTCAGTCTGCGTCTGTAACCATCACCTGAGCACTTGCTTTCACTCTCGGTCACCCAGCTTCTTCATGTCCCTGACTTCCTCGTCTGTCACTTCCAATCCCTGTCATCGTCTTTTCAAAAATCTCTTCCTAGGTTCTCACCAGATAGTATCAACCATCTCACAGTCACTCCAGTAGTTTATTTTGACTGTTTGGACCCTAAATAATCCATTACGTTTTAAAAGAAAGAAACAGTGATATCCAAAAAAAGGAGTTGATTATTCATAGAAAGGGGTTGACAACACCAGGTAGGGCTCAATAGATGAGGCTAAGTTGTTTTAAAAAAAAAAAAATCTGAAAACCTAAAATAAATAAAGGACCGAAATGTTGATCATTTACTCTATAAACCCATTTTAGGAACCTGACAGTGATATTTTTGTCATTTAACGTTAAATTTGAATAATGTTAATAAATGCTTTTAGTTAGTAACTCTTAGTGACTCCAGTTATGTTCAGCATTTTAGCAAACAATACTTAACACGTTTTTTTTTTAATATCTTGATTGGAGTATAATTGCTGTACAATGGTGTGTTAGTGTCTGCTGTATAACAAAGTGAATCAGCTATACATATACATATATCCCCATATCTCCTCCCTCTTGCGTCTCCCTCCCTCCCACCCTCCCTATCCCACCCCTCTAGGTGGTCACAAAGCACCGAGCTGATCTCCCTGTGCTATGTGGCTGCTTCCCACTAGCTATCTATTTTACATTTGGTAGTGTATACATGTCCATGCCACTCTCTCACTTCGTCCCAACTTACCCTTCCCCCTCCCCGTGTCCTCAAGTCCATTCTCTACATCTGCATCTTTATTCCTGCCCTGCCACTAGGTTCATCAGTACCGTTTTTTTAGATACCATACATGTGCATTAGCATACAGTATTTGTTTTTCTCTTTCTGACTTACTTCACTCTGTATGACAGACTCTAGGTCCATCCACCTCATTACAAATAACTCAGTTTCATTCCTTTTTATGTCTGAGTAATATTCCATTGTATGTATGCACCACATCTTCTTTATGCATTCATCTGTCAGTGGACACTTAGGTTGCTTCCATGTCCTGGCTATTGTACATAGAGCTGCAATGAACATTGTTAACACAGTTTAGAATAACTCTTTTGAGGGTGGTCTTTGACTAATGCGTAGTCAGCTGACACAACAAGAGAGATCAGAGGTTACATGATGAAACCAGAGTTAAATGGAGTAAGTTTGTATCTGACCCTGAAATGTATCATACTAGAAGCACCTGATGTTTTGGAAATTCACTTTAAGTGAAATAGCTTAGCCACTTGGGGATCACTGGTCCAGTGAGGGTGCCGCAGGCTCTTCCTCCACTCTCTCTGCCGTCTGTCCAGGTCATGGTCCTCGGCATT